GCTGGCCCATCTAACATCGGAAAGAAGCAGTAAGATTCCATGTTCGCTATCAAGTTCATCAGTCACAAATTAGTTATTTTATAACGTCTTGCAAGATATCTCTTATGACTATAAATGCTTACCATATTTTAACAATTAAGAAATGTAAATGAATGGTTATTTTTAAAATATTTTTTGTTTATAGTACCTAATCGGGTTAATCTTTTCTCGCAAGATGTCATCATTATTAACTAGGATGTTTTGCCATAATTTACATAGCGCAAGCATTTATCCTAGAATTACATTTCATAAATATGAATTTGCCTTGAAAGATTCTTTAATTTGTCTGAAAATCTGACTGGCGAACTCTGTTGTAAATATTCTCCCTTTCATTTTTCGAAAGTTAAAATAATCTTGAGGGTCATTGCATACAGGAAGCAAATTTAATATGTGAAAAATTCAGAAATTTTAAATTCCATTTCAACAAAACGGAAAGCTCATTTTTCCAGTTTCTTCTCAAGTTAGAAAATTTAAAAATGTAAAAGAGCTGATATGCTTGCTATTTAACAATGTATATATACCATTTTAAATCATATTTTATTCTTTATGTGTATGCATACCCGTGCATTTTATTACCTAAAAATTTGGTAGTCTTATCACAAACAAAATTTTGGAAAATTACACAAAATTTATAGCCGGCTTATAAGTGTAGTCTGCTTATAAGAAGCGAGCAAAGTGCCATAGCCATACCTTTAAGGAGAAAAACTGAATAACCGTAAGTATGACTACAAAATTCGGAAATTCTGAAAAGCTGTTTATTCAGAAAGATAAAAAAAAAAAAAAAAAAAAAAAAAAAAAAAAAAAAAAAAAAAAAAAAAAAAAAAAAAAAAACTCCGTGGTATCATTTACTGAAATAAGACCACGGAGTGCCTAATCATTAAGTGCTGACGCACGAAGGCTCATTTGCATCTGTCAAGAGGAAGAAATGATACATGAGCAAAGAGGAAGTCACTTTATTTTAAGCCATTAATTGGATGTGGGCGTAACTCTTGGTCAAAAGTGATAAACGCTCATATCACGAAAAAGAAAGGTAGTTGTGTGGATTGGTTAGTTTTGCCTTGCAAACAGGGAAGCAGTAATAAAATATCTTAAAATGTGTTTCCGAAATGGAGCACAGCCGTTATAACCTTCCCACCTAGATTCAGTGTACAAGAATATAATATTTTACTACAGTAATAATATCAAGAGTTTATCTTGTACTAAACAGTAGTTGCAACAAAGCTAAATGGTAGGAGCTAGTTTCCTAAAAAACAGTGGATCTAAAAGCAATAGAATGGTTTAGTTAACGTTATCTATTTAATAACTTAAAAACAAACTCATTTTACAACAATTCTAAAAGTTCAGGTCGTTTAAATACTTTGAGGAAACCTGGACTGTATTAATTATAGTTGATAGATTATGATGAATCTAGCAGGCTTCAAATGTAGTCACAACCTGAAGGAGGATTTTTGAATTGCTACTTTAATTCATTTATTGTGAAACAGAACAGATATGTTCATAAAATGGTTTTAAAGAAAGCTGAGCCCTTTTCAAGTAATAAAAGAGCAAAACCATGTGCATCTCTTCTCTTATCATTATCTATGGTGAATTTATGTCCCGACATAAGATTCATTTTATTTAATGCAAAATTTTAAATCTTAATTTGGCCGAAATATTAGGTTTCGAATTTTTATCCTTAGAATGTTTCAGAAGGATCTTAATCCTAGATAGGATGTCTAAGGATTGAATAGCTAATTTTATTTACAGGAGAGACTTTCTGTTGAATTTCGGAAGAAAAACGTTCTGAGCAAAAGCGGATAAAATGGGCCAACAATCATCATTTTACCAGTTTTTAATGAGAGAGCTTATAATTATGACAGTATAAAATGAAGCAAACTGCATTTGCATTTCCTCTAAACATTAGTGACTATTGTTCTACTGTCCAATCAGTGGTTAACTGACAAAGCTCCCTATCCTAACCCGTTTCCTTGGATTCATTCAGAACCCTTTATGAATGGGAAGAAGTATGGAGAAAATCATTTGTTTATTTTATCAATTTTCTTAGAATTTCAGAAAAACCTAATCTTTACTACAGATTAAACTCAAACTTTGGAGACAAAGAAATTTTAAAGAAAGTAGAGAATAGCAAATACAAAACAAAGTTAGCAGCTGACTATGGAATTAGAAAAAAAAAAATATTTTGTCAATTTCTTTGATAAACAAGAAATCAATTTTAGATTCCTGGAGAAAATTTGAATTTTCTAGAGGAAGGAAATGCATGAGAAATGCATCCCAAGAAGATACAGAAAAGCTCTACTACTGCGGTTCCAGGAGGCTAGATCTTGAAATTTTCCGATAAATGGACCCTTATTGTAGACGATGGTGTTGGTATATTTAATTATGGCAAAGCACATGAGGGTTATCTGCCTAAGGAGAGGGATGCCTTAGTGGAGGACTTTTTAAGAGAAACTGGCTCGTATACACGTTACACATGGGGAAAACCACGAAAACGCCCACGCAGCCAGCGCGTTCGCGGGATTCGAACCTCGGACCGAACTACCAGTGTTCAGCGACTTTACCGCTCGGCCGTTGGTGGGCCCTTATTGTAGACGAAGGCTGATGAATTGGCAAATAAAATGGGTATTGAAGATTTAAAATGCTCTGATGGATAGTTTTCTCGATTTAAGTCAAGGAACAATATTTGTTCTCAAACTGTATGGGCCAAAGATGAGATATAAACGAAGACGTATGCACTAATTTCGGTAGAGAATATTGTCAGAAATTTTCTCTTACCTGCCGATAGATATTTTTTACTGCTGAAGAACCTTTTTTTTTTTTTTTTTTTTTTTTTTTTTTTTTTTTTTTTTTTTTTTTTTTTTTTTTTTTTTTTTTTTTTGGTAAACTCTCGCCAAACAAGACACTGTATTTTAAAGGCGATGCTTGCGTGGGAGGCAAAAGCCGTAAGCAGAAGATTACAGCTTTAGTTTGTGCTAATTATGGATGTGAGGAAAAGCTTAAAATATTAGCGATTAGAAAGTTTAAGAATGCCCCATGTTTAAAAGGAATTCGAACACTGGCAGTTGATTATGTATCAAATACAAAAGCATGGATGACACGACACGTCTTCAGTAACTGGTTAAAAGGAACAGAAAACAGTTTTTGAAGGAATAGCGTAAAATTCGCTTATTTGCGGATAAGGTAACCTGCCCCAATAACCTTCTGGAACTGAGTTTCAGACAGGTTGAATATTTTCCGCCACAAACAACTGCGAAGCTATAATCAATAGATAAAAGAATCATCCAGCATCTTAAACAACTTATCGTAGACTCGTACAACAAATCATTTTTTTCTTTAGATTGTCAGGAAAACTACAACACTACTCTGCTGATAGCTACTATAAATTATCTATAACCGCATGGGATGCTGTTAAAGTAAGCGCAATTTGTAACTTTTTCGTCATGCTAAATTCATGTACGCCGAAGAGAACAATCATATCGAAGAATGTGATGCTATTGGTACAGCTTTTACCTGAATTCAAAAATTTAAATGTGATAACGTTTCTTTTTCTGATTACATAAGGGTAGATGAAGAGTTACAAGTCTGGAAAACTGAGCTACGATGACAAGATAAAAACTATCCGAGAAGATAAAAAAAGACCTTATCGGCCTAATGATCAAGTCAAACTCTGAAAGCATTTATTCAGATTGAACCGTTCCGTCTCTAAAAATGAATTGAAAGGTTTACTTCAAACCGAGGATCTGGCTGAAAAATGTAGGCAAACCAGACATCCATTTTGCAGTTTTTCCCAAAAATAATTTATGTTTTGAATTAAAGTTTACCTTCTACTGCATATCTTCTGCTTCATTTTATGATTAAGATCAGTCTTTATTGCTTTTTAATATGTTTAATTTTAGATCGTATAGTAGAATATTTTTTGTGGGGTTATACATATTAGGAGATTTTTCTTCTTCAGTGATATGCTTTGAAAGTTAAATTTTCTCTTGTCATCGAATAATTCTAACTCTCTGCTAAGAACCTTTGAGTTCGAATCAACGAGCGTCCACTGTATATAAAAAAAAATCAACCATGAAATACTCAAATTGCTGTTATTTTCTTGAACGCGTAGTCATCATTAAAAAAAAAAGATTTTCAATGTAGTATAAATACACTAAAACAGATGCTTTTTACAATTATTTTAAGCAAGACCTAGTGAAAAGAAATGCTCCTTAAAAGTTTTTGGAATATTTTACTTCGCTATTCTATTTGTGTAGTAGATTTAAAATTTCTAAAATACGACTAATTTTATAAGTTTTTTTTTTTTTTTTTTTTTGTATGTGGAATTTAGATAATATTTTAGATGAAAATATAACCAGCCAATGTGAATTAATACGAGTACAGAATATTTTTCTCAATGTAATATGTAGATGATGATCACTTAAGAATTTAAACTCACTATTTTGATGGATGTTGGTGATTCAAGTATACTACTTGGAGATTTTAGAAATAGAGGGTAGAAGAAAGCGTTCATATATAAAGTTGTGGGTCAAAAATTTGATCGAAAGCTTTTTACGATTTCAAAAATTTCAAAACAAGCAATTCAAAATCAAATAGTTTAATGAATAGTTAAGAGCTCTAATCTTAAGCCAAGACACATACGTGCTTAAGCCTTATGCGTTAAAAGGCTCTTATTTAACTGTCCGAACTTTAAGTCACTTGCTTTTAAAAGCAAAGAAGCAACGTTTTATATAGCCTTCACTTAAACAAAAAATCTCACGACATTTCTGAAATATTAAGTGACTACTTTTCATCTGAACAAGGCAATATTTGCGCCCTTCGTAACACATTAAGTACCTTATGTTTAAAGTAACACCAAATAAAGTATTTTAATGACTTAATCAGCAATTTTTAAAAGTACTTTTATTTATGAATGTGAAATTATAAAATAAGAAAGATATGAAAATAAAATTGAAATTCTAAATGAAAAATTCAGTTTGTTTAAATCTATTCTTTACATGTTAGTGTTTATGTCACTCGAGGTTTCTTTAAGGAAAAACACTAAAGAATCCATTTCCTGTACTGAATATACAAAAATAATAGATCCACTTTTTGTACTAGTACGAAATATGCAAGAAAATGGACAACCAATATTTTATTTATTTTTATTTTTATTTTTAGTAACAATAAAATAGTAAAATGTTTAATAAATATACGAACAGAAGATTAGGGATTGTAAAAATAATAAAAGCTCTAGATTAAAAATTCATGGATTTCGATTGAAAAATTTAAAAACTCCCTTAATCTTCCAATTTATTGTTCCACCATCCCGCGGAAAAACTGCGACATTTAGTACTCTTTCAATTTCTACATTTAACAGAATAGAGAACTGACATTTGCCATACGAGTATTTTTATCAGAACGCAATATTCCTTAGTCATGGTCTGCTTCGCGCAAAGTCATTCATTTATGGAGAGAAAATAACTGATTTCAGTGAAACTAAAGTCTTCTGTTCTTTACTCATGTACAACGTTGAAGACTCAGCTTTGAATGTTAAGCCTTAAGCAGAAAGAGTAATCTTTTAATTTGTTCCTAGTTCAAACGAAAAGAGAAAACTACAGAAGAGAAAACAGATTTCAATTTGAAATAAGCTGTTGCTGAAGGATCATCTAGGTGTTCCTATGCCATACCTGCAAAAGAAGATAATAAATTAATCTATATCATTAGGGAACATTCCACTTTAATACTATGATTTTATAGTTTCCAATGACAAAATTTGGGTTATTTTTTACGGGTTAAACCACTCAGTGGTAAGACATAAAAAGTTAGTATTTTAACACATATGCACCGACAGAAACTTGTTAATTTTTATTAATTTTTACCTAGCCATTCTTAAGCCCTTAAAAGCAAGCACACTAACTGGAACGATAATAATGGCAGAAATCTTTCTATTGTTCTATAACGAACAGTCTCGTATTATATTCTAATTAATGAACAGTCTCATTTTGTGTTATTAATTTCATGCTCAAATAAATACGAGAAATAATTATCTATGACCTCCTCCGCCAAATCATTGACATTACAAGTGGCATTACATTGATACTATATGCGACTAATCACTCAGACTAATTAATCGACTTTTGTGTGGACTTCAGTCCTTTAAAATTATTACAAACATAAGCAATGAAAAACGACCAAGAAAATAAGATATTTTATTAAATTATGCAAATGCTAGAATAACTTTTATACATTTTTAGAATCTACTTTTGTAAACATTGATGTGGGAATACGTTTTAGATGTTTGTAAACTACCACATATTTTTATTGCCTTTTAAGAAACTAATGTTTACAGTCCCTACCTATATTTTACGTAGAACTTTGAGAAATTAAAATATTCAATGAAATATATGTAATCACTAGTATTATTAAAAATTTATATTTTTGTATTAAAGTTAATTAAAAATTTGCTAGGGATAGAAAACTAGTGCGACTTAAAAAAAGACACGTTAAAGGATTGACAATTTGGTTTTCGTAGAAAAACTGAAGTTTCTTTAAGGCAGATTAAATTAAGACATATGCGGAAGGCCGGAAGTTTTGAAAGCGCGTTTCATGCTGTTTCAACAATTAAAGCGACTTTGCATGTTATATTAATACTGAATAAGTAATAACTAACGCTTCACTTTACTTAACTAAACTACCATAAAAATAATAATGGAATAGGAAGAAAGTGGACCTCGAACAATCTTTTTTAGAACTGAAAGAAGGAAGATGTCTTCAACATGGCAGTCTAGCCTTTCGCTAGAATTTGCAAAGCAACTCCTGCCATGTTGAAGACAACTTATTATTCTGTTTGATTAAAATTATCTAGCTCATAGCAATGCTCGCCAAAGCCAACAGTCTAAAGAGAAGGGTCCTTACGTAAAGAGCTTTTTAAGAGAAGCTGGCTCATATTCATGTTATATATGGGGGTTGGAGGGATTACGAAAACAATGCAGCCAACCCATTGGGGATTTGAACCTGGGTCGAATTATTAATGCTCAGTCATTTTACCGCTCGGAAGCTGGCAGGCCCTATATGATTTTAAGATTGATCAAGGCTAGACAGTAGGCACCTATCACCGAGACAAAAGAAAATTAACTAAAATTGTGCAAAAGTTAAGACATGACTTTATAAGGTAAGGTTACGAATAAGTCAGAATATGAAACTGATAATAAATTTTATGGAAAAATATGCAAATCTCAAAATTGAATGTCTTACAAATAGTAAGGCTCACCTATTACTAGCGTATATGCTGCCTTAAAATTTATGCGCCTGTAAACTGTCAAGTACAGCGTAAAATAACAAAGCATTAAGTACGTGTTATGACAAATTTAATGTTAAACAATTCTTTCATAACTACCTACGGACAAAGGAACCGGTACAGATAAAGAGGTTACACACCCCGAATTCTTGATTCTGAGAAATGTCCACTCAGTACGTCTATAAACCTGTCCTTATTCGAAAAGAGTAGCTAGTTTCGGCTACACTTTTAGCGACACTCTTACTCCGTTTTTCAACTCGAACGTAAAATACTCGTTTGATAATATTTTCAACACTGAACGCAAAATTTCTTAGTTTGTTTGTATTCTATCAATAGAGAAACTACGCATTTGCAACTTTAAAAATGCTTATGTTTTCTACCATGGTTACCACTTTTGAACTCTAAGTCAAAATTGGGAAAAATGCGTAGTTAAATTAATACACTTCAATTTAAATGCATACGTATTTATAAAAATATTACGAAAACACTAAGTTTTAATATCCCAGAAATAACTGGGAATTTTCAGTTTCAAAAATCCTGAATTGTTTTCAAAATCAGCGATTTCGCAGAATAGGGTCTTTTGCTGGCCTCTATCAAACCAGCGTCAATTTAAAGGCTGTCTTTTTTTTAACAGTCTTTTCCCCGCATAAGGGCTGTTTTTTAATAAATTCAAAGAGCTTGGAAATGAGACGAATATGAAAAGCATTTTAATAATATATAGTGCATTATACATTATATAATATATAGTGCACGCTATTTTTCTGGGTTCATTTCATTTATCCCCGCTTCTGAAGAGAAAGTGTCAAAACAGGAAAAACAAATATTCGTGGTGGAGAATTTTCATACAATTATGGGATAGGCTGGCTGAAGTTTGAGGCAGAAAGTTTGAGAGAAATGTACACAACTTGTAACGTGTTATGACAAGTGCTGCAATCGAGAACCATTTGCGTAAAGAAACAGTTTGTATCAAACTTTTGCACACATTTAAATTTATTTTATTTCCATTTTCATTTCTGAATTGGGAACTTTTCATAGAATAGCTAGGTATTATTAGTAATACCCCACTGATGTAATTTTTCTCATAGAGTCAACTCATTTTGGAATAGCAAATTCTTTTCAATATACGTATTTGTTAGAATTTGTTGCATCTGTTTTAGGAAGTTTACAATGAAAGTAAGTATATGAAAGCCATCAATTTTTAATTAAAATACACCGAAATCACTTTGCTTACATTATGAAACACTGATCTTTAATAACGAGATAAAGCAAAGATTTATTTGAAAACTGGAGATGACTGGTTTGAAGATTCTTCTATTCAATGTTAAATATTCACCACTCCTTTTAAGTTGGATGTCAGTGAAACCAAGTTCAGTTAAATAGGTTCCCTTTTCACCATCACATTTTGTTGTTATTCTCTCTCGAATTAATATTTACATATATATATACCTTCACATAAGCTTCTGTATCAAATCAGGAAATTAAGTGAACAAGAATTTTACCTATAAATTTAAATGTGTTTAATCCAGAAAATTACCAAAATCTTGTAGGGAGAAGCTTTCACGGGCATAAATGCAAATGAATGAAGTTAAATGTCAAGTGCAAACAAAAAGGAGAATATGTTTTTAAATGTATATACACCTTACAACATACAGCTGCTTTTAATGTTCCCTATGCATCTAAAGATAATATCTTATTGATTTTAGGTAATGCTAGTAAACCTTTTGTGTGCCAAAAAATTTAAGGCAACTTTCCAAGTATAGCAACCATAACCAAACAGATTCCTGTGGCTGGTTAAATGCAGCTCAAGCTATAAAAGTTATTTTTGAAGTATCAATATTATTTGAGAAAACTCGTACAGCATACTTTAACAGTAGTAACTTAATTTTGTTAAATTATACTCTAAATAACAATTTTTAAAACTTTAAACTGTATAATATCTATATATACTGTTGAATTCACGTATACAATAGATTTTAAAATATTCCGGGCCCTGCGGTAATAATCAAAATGATAAACAAAAGTTATATAGCATTTCTGGGGCTTACTTTGCCGTGGCGCTGGTTTTACAGCATGTAATATTTTGTGACAGCGGAAGAGACAGGCTCTGTCAATAATTAAAATTTTATTGAACTTTAATAGCTATACCAGTGATTAAAATTTTATCGAACGACACTTCATAAACATAGTTCCAATTCTCATTGAACAAAACAGTGACTATACAGTTCGTTCATCTAATTCATCAGCCAAATAAGTTAGGGCTAAGTTTAATCTTTATTAGTTCTTGCATTAGGTATGTGGGATAAATTGAGCTTCATGCAAAATCCCTGTTAAATTGATAATTTTTTTTAATAATTTCTTCTCAGGCAGTGCCATCTCGGCTTGGTTAAATCCAGGGGTGCGAGTACAGGTTCAGAATAAAATGCCACTATTTTTTTTTAAATTACCTTGTTAATTTCCACTCAAATGAAAAATAATTACTGGAAATACCACTACGTCTTAATTAGTTCCCAATTTACTTCTTTTAACACAAAAATTAATCGGTGGGGGAGGAGGGAGGTGTGGAAGTCTGAAGAAATACTCGGTTTTCCTGGCTGAAAGAAAGAGTTCAGTACACCTTACAAAAATTTATGTTAGTACAATATGTGAAATTAGCGTTTCCGAGTACCGTTTCCGAGTACGGAGCACGAGCAACAAGAATTATTTAAGTTTACTTGACTAAATTTTAAAAAAGAGATAGTCTTGTTAGTTTACTCCAAACATTTCTTTCTATTCAAAAACTGTTTTATTACATCTGAATACGGGCCACCTTTGACGGTACAGCTAGCTGAGACTAGCTACTAGTCTGAAATCGAGGATGTGGTTTCGACATTTGGATAAAACTGCTCTGTTACGCATATAATATGGGTCATCCTACTGTGCATTCCGAGCAGCGCTTTGACCGATGGCTTCGGCCATTCTTAATGGATGCTTTAAAAGCAAGGGTCTGGCTATTTGAAAGAAAAAAAAAATTCTGAAAAATGTACAGTCTTTCTAGTTTTCTTAAATATTCCCGAACTTCTCGTATATGACTGCTATTGACAGTTTGGTTACCCATGATACATAGTTATTAAAGTTAATTTTTTCAGCAAAATATTTTCGTTTCAATAATAAATGCATTCGTGTAACATTCCTTTCGCTGCGGTATTATTCACCTTTTGTTCAATTGAACAGGATGAAGTACACGAGGACTGTTTTCCTAAGAGGAGATGCATTCATGAAAAATTTCCTAAAGGAAATTACTTAGTATTTACTTTACTCATGAGGAAACCATAAAAATAGCCACGCAGCCAGTCCGTGTAAAACTACCAGTGTTCAACTATTTTATCTACGCGGCCGTTGGTTATTAAAAAT